TTGTAAGCTAAAAAAATATTTTATTGTGGCAAAATAGACATAATAAAATTTTCCAGTTTACCCACTTTAAAGTACATGATTCCGTGGTATTAAATAAATGCACAGTATGGTTCTCTCATCCCTACTATTTCTTTTATGAAGATTCCCTTTTCATGCCAAAAATTGTTAAGGGATTCTGAACCAAGACAAGCCCCCATCATACAATATAGGAATTCTAATTTAGTACCTATTGTTTAACACCACACGTGATCACGGAGCTCATCCTAAGGTTTCAATGGTACCGGCAAGTGGCTTGTAGTATATGTGAGAAAAAAGGAAATGTGTCTATATGCAAGACCACAAGACCAGCTAAAAACTAATGCTTGACTCATCTGTAGGTAAATAGACCCTTGCAACAATGAGGAGGTCCACACCTTGAGAACCCACAATACAATGTCCTTTCACTATGACCTGAAAGAGGGGTGCTGCTGCAGTGGGGGAAGGAAAGTGACCCTGTCCACCCACATCCTGAAGCTTCTCATGCCTAAAAGTCATTATTTATTTATTTTTTTTCTGCTACAAACAGGGCAGAAAGCTGCTAAACTTGGCGTTTTAAGCTTACACATTTTCACATGCATACATTTTGCAAGTCACTTTATCTAGTAGGCAAAGCTGAGAGGATAAGTTGCGGTCACATACAATAGTCAGATCCATTTACAGAGAACTTGGGTTCAAAGACTCAACCAAACAACATACCAAGTTTTCCTTAATTCCTTTTGTACAAATATCCTGTCTCAATCGAATTCTTTGAAGACTTATTGCAAATGTCACTTCCGAGGTGGAGTCACCAGTTAGTTGTCCCACGGCTCTCTTTACTGACTCTGGTCAGAATTTCCAGGGTGTTGTCATTTTTCGCCCTCCCCCACACCCCTGATACACAGTTGAACCTTATTGTCAGGGTTTGTTCAACATGTGACTATGTCCTCATGAACTTGGAAAGACAGGTATGGCCACAGAGAACCCAATTACCATTTTAAAATTAACAAGATTATCTTTGTATCAATAGAAATATAATCAGCATCAGGAGGCTTAGGATAGAACGGAGGAGAGACTATCACAGTAGCGCAAATAAAAAGAAAACCAAAGAAAGGAAAGAAGGAAGCGGGGAAGGGAGAGGGGGAAGAAGGAGGGAACCTGAATCTGACCAAGCTCTTAGATCTAATTTTCAATCTTCAGGGAATGCAGGGCTTAGAGGAAAATGTTATACCATGCCCCAGGATGGCAATCAGCAAAATCCAAACTGAATGAAATCGTGGTAAAGAAAGACGTTTCTTCAGTAAATCAGTTACAAAGGAGAAGGGGGAAGAAAAAGAGACCCCGTTGATCCCCCCTCATCCCCACCCCTACCCCTGTGCTGGAGACAGCACCCAGGGCTTTGCAAACTCAGTACCAGGCAAGCTCTACCGCTGAGCCACACCCCAGCCCTCCCTTCCTGACATTTTTGAAAAATGCTACTGCAATATGTGGATCTTCTCTGGATACTGATTAAAACTCTATTAAAAGAAAGCATGACATTCATGAAACAATTGGCAATTTGAACACCTAATGGATATTTGATGGCATTAGGGGATTATTGTTAACTTTGTAGATGTGGTAATGGTATTTCAGTTTCATTTAAGAAAAATAAACAAACTTTATCTTATCAGAGACACATACTGAAATGCTTAGGGATGAAATGATATGGTTTCTAGTACTTTCAGCCCCCAGTATAGCATGAGTCCCACATTCAGGAATTCAAACAAATGCACTCTGAAAAAATATATTAGGGGAAAAAAAGTTGCATTTGCACTGAATAAATACCGACTGCTTTCTTTTTGTCATTCCCTAAACAGCATGGTAGAATAACTATTTACATAGTACTCACAACACATTAGGTATTACAAGTCATCTAGAGATGATTTAAAGTATAGGGGAGGAGGCGTGTAAGGTTCTTTGCAAATACTACATCATTTCACATGATGAACCTGAGCCTCTGTGGGAAGTCCTAGAGCCAAATCCCCTGGGATACCCAGGAGCAATTGTATTTGCTTAATGAATCCTAGGGGGCAGTTCAAGGAGCGTGCCACAAACTGGCCATGATGGATCGCTGTTCAAGATGGTCACGGGG